ACCCTATATAAATGAGTACCGGCAAATCGACTCACTTTTAATGAATTCCTTTATGTAAATCTTAGGATAAAGAAAATTTCATATATTTGTTATAAACATGTGAACATATGTTAATATTTCAGATAAAAGAAGTCTTCAAGGTGGCTAACTACTTAATCTAATATTATGTTATAGAACACGTTACTAGTGATTAACTACTGAATCTAATATTATGTTACAGAACTCGATATTAGTGGTTAAATATTGGATATAATATTATGTTACAGAACACGTTACTAGTGGTTAAATATTTAATCTAATATTATGTTACAGAACACGTTACTAGTGGTTAAATATTGAATCTAATATTATGTTATAGAACACGTTACTAGCGGTTAAATTAATGAAGTCAATTCTGCGTATCCAACTGCTTTGAAGCACTTATTGTTGTAAAACTAAACGTAACGCTGAATGATGCGCACTTAAAACACTTAACACTGAAAACCCCCTTTTCCCAGTAACTGGGCAGCAAGTCGATAAGTTTATGATGCTAAAAATCGGTGGGGAAGGAACAGATAGCCCATTGTGTAAATTTGTATTTTACATAACCAAACTGTGGTCGGAATTTCGTGCTTCGTCCCTAATTTAGCAGTATAAGACTAGAGGGAAGGCAGCTAGTCTTTTACTAACGAATAGTGGGATTGACCGTCACATTATAACGCCCCCACTGCTGAAATGGCGAGCGTGTTTGGTGGGATAGGGATTCGAACCCGCGACCCGCAGATTGCGAGTCGAGCTCCCTAACCACCTGGCCATGCCGGGCCCACATAGAAGAAACTAGACCTGAGAATTTGATAACCAGTTATAAGCCATGTTGAAGAATACTTTAGATAAGCAATTTTGTGTGTGTGACTTGCATCTCTAACATATAGCAGTATTCATGATATAAGACACTATGTTGCTATAGAAGGAAGAACTTTATCGAAAAAACATTCGTGTCATAGTGTCACGTTTAGTATTCATTGCAAATGTCACGTATAGTATTAGTATAAGCAACTAGGTATACTGTTTACAGTATACGTGTATGTAATCTGCAAATTATTTCAAAATCTACTGTTTACACTTTAGAAGATAATTTATTCTTGTAGCAAATTTATTCGAGCGATATATCTTGTTTTTAAACAGTGACTGAAATTATTTGAAGGCATGTTTGTTGACTGGCTTTCCGAGCTTCTTTTTTCCCCTTTTATTTTCAGGTAACGTTAGTAGCTTGTCGCTACCCGTCCTACAGTGGGTCAGCGATAACATCAAGGTCTTGCTATGTTAAAATCCGAGGTTCGATTCTCAACGGCGAACAGAGATCAGATATCCTATTGTGTAGTTTTATGCGAAAAAAACAACAACATCATTACTAACTGTCTGAATATGGATTAGAATAGTACTGGCTAGAATTAATTCGTATAGTTTTTCTTTTTATTTTGTCGGAAGTTGATTACATTCTTGATTTATTTAGAAAGACATTATTGATAACAATAAATATAACTTGGCATGTTTTGTCAAAGCTCTGATGTTTGAAATTCCGTGTAACTTTCTGTAATCGAAACCTTTGGATATACAAGGATGCAGTATTCATACTCAACGCCCAGCATGGCCAGATGTTTAGGACGCTCGACTCGCAATCTGAGAGTCGCGAGTTCAAATCCCCGTCACACCAGACATGCTCGCCCTTTCAACCGTGGGAGCGTTATAATGTGACGGTCAATCCCACTATTTGTTGGTAAAAGAGTAGCCCAAGAGTTGGCGACCAGTTGCCTTCCCTCTGGTCTTGCACTGCTAAATTAGGGACGGCTAGCGCAGATAGCCCTCGTGTAGCTTTGCGCGAAATCCAAAACAAACAAAATCATACTCAACAGTTTTGTGTATAATGATTAAATGTAAAATATTAAAAAGCTAAGCAGACTGAGTTTGTTTTAGTACTTTATACAAAAATCTATATGTTGTCCTTTTACAGAGCAAATACAATTAGAAGTATGTAGTTTACATTCAGATAGAGTGCACTTGGAAAAGAGGACGTGAGAAGTCTGCGAATATTTTATTTATTTTACATTTGTTAATTTATTTGTTTGGGTTAAACACAAAGCTACACAATGGGCTATCTGTACTCTTCCCACTGCCGATATCAAAACCCGATGTTTTTTTGTAGCGTTATAAGATCTCAGATTGATCTCGGAGTTACCTGTATGCTTGGTGCTGCATATTACCAGATTCCTACCGGTTGAGGTTAATAAGACCACGCAAAACACGTGATGAAGAAAAAACAGATAAATGATGAATAAAACGTATATTAAAAGAACCAGTTGCTCTATACAAGCCACCAATACAAATATCGTAAATTCTGTAGTGAAGTCTACATACAGGAATGACTTTCTTACAATTTTACAGTCTTGCTGAGTTTGCCTGTAATGGGTTGATCTTATACACTTATACGCAAAATATTTATACATGGTCATTCTAAAAAATAAACAAAAGGTGTGACGCCAATAAACAAACCTATTGTTTTTGAGAGAATGAGAATTTATACCTTTAAAGATATAAATGTAGAACAAATATAAGTTCACACTGCTGTTCTGTATATATATAAAGGAGCGGGTGAGGCATGAATTTATATACATAATGAAAGCCATTTGTAACTGATATGTTAAAATTAAGAACAGATTGTTAACAGAGTCACTTTGTGAATATTATAAAACCTTAAGAAGGATAAAAGTGTATCCTCGAAATGTATACAAATATACTTATTCCTGTGTGAGGTATAGTTTCTCTACAATATTTCTATTTCTTGAGCTTCACACCCACATAACTGTGAGATAACACTTTCTTAGAACGCATGAAGCTCGAATGTTAGTATTCACAAGGTTTTTGTATGGATTCGACAGACTAAAGGTTTTCAAAAACACAAAACTTTAAAATTTTGAAACTAAAATTGTAAGAAACTTGGAGCTAAAAAGACCGAACGTCTTTCTGCTTTAACAACAGAATTGTAAAATAAACTATAAAATTAGACAATGAAATTAAATTTATTGGTAAAAAAAATGCTTATTTTGCATCAATATAAATAATAATATTTTGCACATGACTGTAGCTATGAGGAAACGAGATGTTGATATTAGTGTTTACCGACTTCGAAGAATGATTGAAGTAATTCTACGATAAAATGAATTAATTAATTAGCAAAAACCCATTCCTGGTGATGATTTGAACACTAATTCCAATGTCAGGAGGGTATTGGTTTAGTTATATTTTAAAGTCTCTTCAAATAATTTCTTCTGATGTTTCGTGTTTCTTTTAGTTCGTTCTAATCTTACCATCTAACTTCAGTATGATAAAAAAAGCTATAAAATAGATATATTTCTGCCCTTTGCCATAAAACTATAAGTTTTATTAAGTTATAGGTAAAGCATTAAACAAATACGGTGCTATCTATTTCATTAGAGCTTAATCAAAAACGAAAGGACCAAAGTTATATTAGAAACAAAAAGTTTGACAAAAGTTCCGGAATAGAAACGATTTCATCGCCAGTAATCTATTTAATTAATATTTCAAGCAGGTAAAATGGTGAAACTTGATCAGTTGATCGTATCTTGTGTTGAGTTATGGCTGGGAGTAGAAATGGGGACTTGCTGAGTTTGTCACCTGCTTTAATTAATATTTCAAGCAGGTAAAATGGTGAAATTTGATCAATTGATCGTATCTTGTGTTTAGATGTGTTAATGTATTGAAGGGGATTGGAGTGAGGACTTGCTGAGTTTGTTACCTGCTTTAATAAATAATCATATGTGTGTGTGTATTTTATTACATATATTATTTTTAAACGTTTTTGTCAATACATCAACGCGTAAAACATTCCATGTTACTTGATAATCAGTGCGCTTTGTGCCGATATTTCGAGTGGGAACGAATGGTCGGTGAAAGTGTATTTTTGTGTTTACGGCAAAGCTACTTGGGCTCTCTGCCGCTGTCCTCAATTCTGAACTACAGAGCAGATGGAAAGTAGCCAATCAGCAGCATCTACCAACCATTCACATTCCACGCTAAGGGACTAACTGTAATTCTTATAACACACCCACACGTTTTAAATTTGTATGTGAATTTTGTGGTATCACACGGATTCTAACCAGGCTCGTTAGCTCCGAAATTCAGAGAACTCCCGTACGGCCATCTCACTCTGTTTTGCTTCATTGGGATTTTGGTCCTTGTTTGGACCTGGGAGGGTCAGGTGCATCCTAGACCTCTTCCTCCCGCATCGTGTGTGTAATTTCTCCCTCAGCACAGGTGTTGTTTTAATGTTTCAGCATTTTGATTTCTCGGCATTTTTTGTACACTGTCAAATGCTGAACGCGACATAAAAGAGGGCATTTCTTTCAATAGTGTTTATTATATGAATTCAATTCCTCTATCAGGGTCATGTTTATTTGCGTTCAAACGTTCACCGTTTACACTGGGATATACTTGTTAATTTGAAGTCCATATATTCCAGTACCATTCCTAATGTGACTTATTCTATGTGTATTTACATAAATATTCTTTTAATACACTATATTAGAAACTACGTAATGATATTTTATGTAGGTCTAACAATGGATGGCATATTACTATACTTATAGTACGTATTTATGGGTGAGAGGTACTTAGGTTCACTTACATCATGTATGTCATCTCGCGCTCGGTGAAAGTTTGGTTTGTTTTTTATTTCGCGCAAAGCTACACGAGGGCTCTCTGCGCTAGCCGTCCCTAATCTAGCAGTTCTCTTGGAATACTCTTTTACCTACGGTTGAGAGGGCGAGCATCTTCGGTGACAGGGATTCGAACCCGTGATCCTCAGATTGCGAATCGAGCATCCTAACCACCAGGTCATGCCAAGCCTTCAGGTAAAAGCGATGAGTATTTATGGAAATGTTAGTTACAGTAGTTACTGCTCAGGATAGCCTTTGAATTACGATGTTATTGAGAGTTAAACTTACCATTTTTCACAATTTCTCCCACATCCTCGTCATTACATGTAGATGGCACACAGACTCCGAACATAAAAGTCAAGTAGTAGAAGTAGTGGGCAGATCTGCTCATTTCCGAAAATATCTGTAATAAGACCATTTTTATAATATTCGGTACTTTAGTGAAGCCTAAAAAGAGAAACAATGAGCGTTATAGACTGAGAGTATGTAAAGGTGAATGACCTTTCTAATGTAGAGTAAACATTCTTTTAATAAAATTAAAAAAACACCTGTGTTATTTCTTACAAAATAGCAACTATCACCCATAAATAATTTTCTCTTCACAGTAATAAAGAGGTATATTCGAGTGTGAAATACACCGCTTGCTATTGGAGTGGGAAAGACAATACTAGCTATTGGACTGTGAAATATAAGATTTGTTATTCCAGTGTAAAATTTAAGACTTGTGAAATATAAATAAATAGGAAGCCCAATTTATTTTCAGTATTTTAAGTAGCTTGCCTACTGTATAATTCATAAGAATGAATCGGTTACATCAATATTATTTCTCTTCAAATCCTATATAAATATGTGTTAACTACAATGAGTAAAAAAACAACTCCAAACCCCAAACATACAATATAAACTTCACCACTATGAGAAGCTTAGTGGTATTCGTGTGATTTACCATTGTTATGGGTTACTGATGAGAAGTGGTATTCCCCCAAACCGATTTAACTCAGTGACAAGTGAATCGAATGAAAGATTAGGCTTCATACTTATTTTTAGTGTAAGGTGATTTGTGATAAGCCTTGGATATCTATAGTGAAAATATACTCCACTTTAAAGACAGCAACGTCTGAAAGATGGGTAGAAAAAGATAACAATAGAAACTGCAAGTGGTTTCAAATCTTAATAACACGAATATTTTAAAGAATAGTTTATTTGAAAATGCCTGAAATTTTAAACGAAATAACATAATTTATTTTTACATATATATATTATGGCTCATTAACACTTACATTGTTATCAAACAATGATTCGTTAATGACAAGGGTATTTGATGCTACATGTTCTGGTTTTTGGGGAAGTGGAGGTTTTGCTTCAATGAGACAGTATTTCCCTCGAAACAGCTCTTTCTTCCCATTTCCATTTCTCCCACTTCGTACATTTATATTTACGCATTCGTCGTAGGCTCCAAGGTCCATTAGAGTACCTTCTAATATTCCGCTAGGAGGCTTAGCCATGGCGTCAATCACTAAAAGGAAAAATCGTGGAACAAAACAAATAAAATATTTAGTCATCTGTCTGTATTAACATTTTGTCTAAAGAGTTAACAACTTTTATTATATCTATTTTCATTGCTTACGCAAGCTTCGTTTACATTTACCCAATAAACATATTATAATTTAGTTTAATTACAGCATACCTAAGTAAACACAAAGTTCGTCCTTTATACAAACATACCTCTTATAAGATGTCTTCTCATGAAATATCTGAACACGTTTTACTGGTTTAAAACTGGCAGATGTGTGAGCAATGTCCGATGATTATATCGTCATATTTATTTTATCCTTGAATTATGAAATTAATTTTGTTTTTTACAATATCAATTATTACCTGACATGAAACTTTAGATTTCTCAATAACAGCAATGACTGGTTAGCACTTACTTTGATGAGTTATACAGAATTTGGTGATTTTTTTATGCTATTGTTTAAAGACAATAAGTGAAAAAAGTGAAAAAAAATGCTTTGGCAGAAAACTTCTTGTTGTTTTCTTCTATATTAAAACACATTGCATAGAAAGATAAAAAAAAATACTTTAAAAAAGCCAAACATGCAGGTTCGGATACAGAGGCATCGCAGCCACCACTCTTTTGCGTCACGCTCCCTCATAACTTTGATTTTGTAGATTTGCTTGGCCAGTGACGGAAGTGATGGGCTATCTGCGCTATGCCCACCACAGATATCGAAACCTGGTTTTTATCGATGTAAGCCTTCAGACATATCGCTGAGTCACTGGAGGACAAGTGATAAACGGACAGGGACTACGATAAACTTGTGCTAATGATAGATTGATACAGTTATGAGTGATCGAAACTTTTGTAACGTGTAAGCTTATTTGAAGCTCTATTTTTGAATTGTTACTGCTCTTTTTGTTTGCTTTATGATTATTTTCACAAACGACCTATTCGTACACAAATTTTCGAATATCTCGTTTATTTCTCCCCTTCTCTCCTCCTTCCACGTGGCCTGGATGCTTTAAGGGATTCCATTGTACAGATGAACCCATGTGCAATATTATACCTAGAATATTCTTTGTTGACCTAATTTCTAACTAGTTTGTAACTGGTAATTATTCTTGTAAAATTTTAGCGGATCTTCTTTTAAGTTACCATAGACGTAATTTTTTAGGGCATGGTTCTATTGTTTATAAGTTGATGTGAGTTAATGGAAATAAAATTTTTGGTCATGGTCTTATAATTTTTTAAGTTCATGTGAACTACCTGAAAGTCGTATTTTAGGACATGGCTCTATTGTTAGTAACTTGAGGTGAACTACCTGAAGATCATATTTTAGGACATGGTTCTATTGTTAGTAACTTGACGTGAACTACCTGAAGATCATATTTAGGACATGGTTCTATTGTTAGTAACTTGACGTGAACTACCTGGGAATCATATTTTAGGACATGGTTCTATTGTTAGTAACTTGACGTGAACTACCTGGGAATCATATTTTAGGACATGGTTCTATTGTTAGTAACTTGACGTGAACTA